GACTTAGCAAGCAGGGGCATATTGGCGCATGAATTGGTACAAAATTCGTTGTGGTGGCAAGGACCTTCTTGGCTGCAAGAAAATAGAGAAAATTGGCCATTACAAGAGATAGACTTCACTACTAATATTGAGGAAAAACGGTTGCACGTTCATTCAACAATAACGTCAAACGAACTTAGTGACATTCTTGAGCGGTTTTCAAGTTTACCGAAAGCTTTGAGGGTGCTCTCGTATGTATTGAGATTCCTCCAAAGAACCAGTCCGAAGACAAAAGCTTCTTTTCAGGCGAACTCTTCTTTAATTTCGTCAAACGAAATTAAAACAACGACTATATGTCTGATAAAACTCGCTCAGAAGCAACATTACGGAGCAGAAATCGCTAAACTTAAAGCTAGAGAATCCATTGAGTCAAAAAGTGAAATCCTTCCTCTAAATCCGTTGCTTGATAAAGATGATTTGCTGAGAACTGGTGGTCGTCTTGGTGCATCTCTTGATCTGGCATATAGTGAACGGCATCCAGTCATACTCCCATACAGCTGCAGGTTATCGCGCCTATTAGTCCAATTTGTACACGAAGTCTCTCTCCATGGTGAAAACCAACTCATGTTGCGTCTCATCCGAACCCAATACTGGATTCCAAAGGTGAAAACACTAATAAGGTCCACCATCCATAATTGCAAAATATGTACTATTCACAAAAAACGCTCACAAAGCCAACTTATGGGGATCCTTCCACAAGAGCGAACTACGTTTTCGCGAGCATTTACAAATACAGGTGTGGATTTCGCTGGACCCTTTGAAATAAAAAGTTATCGTGGGCGGGGGTGCCGAATTTCAAAGGGTTACGTCTGTCTTATGGTCTGTTTTTCTACGAAGGCCATCCATCTAGAGGCCACAAGTGATTTGAGTACCCAAAGAGACAAACTTTGTAGGAGCTTCAAGAGCGTTAAAAGCAGAATTTAAGGCATTTCTTTCCGACGCGCGGACACAGACGCTATCAAAATATGTTCACCAATCACTAACCTGGCATTTCATACCTGCCGCAGCTCCGCATATGGGGGGCTTATGGGAGGCAGGTGTGAAAAGTTTCAAAAGCCACTTTAAAAAGATAGCGTCAAATTCGAAATACACTTTCGAGGAGTTCAGTACACAACTTTGCAGAGTTGAGTCATGTCTCAACTCGCGTCCACTTAGCCCAGCCTCAAATGAGCCATCTGATCTGGAGCCTCTAACTCCAGGCCACTTTTTAGTCGGCGGACACCTGCTAGCTCCACCAGAGTTAGACGTCAACGAAAATCCTGCCTCGATCGTTAATCGTTGGCAGAAGCTCAAGGCCCTACACCAAAACTTCTGCAGGAGATGGAAGACTGAATACCTGAACGAGCTACAAAAACGCACAAAGTGGAAACATCCGAAAGCAAACATGAAAGTAGGAGATATGGTAGTCATAAAAGAAGGTAATCTCCCTCCTAACGAATGGAGACTAGGTAGGGTGGTCAATTTACACCCAGGTTTGGATAGTAGAGTCCGAGTTGTTGACATCCTGACCGAAAAGGGCACTGTGACAAGACCGCTTGTCAAACTGATATTACTACCACCCTATCACACGGAGACAACCGCTGAGGACGACTAGGAGAAGAATTTCTACCGCTACCAACATTTTCAACTATATTTTCATTGTATAGACTTTAAATATTTGTATCTTCTTAGGGCCAGTTTCGTCGTGCCAGTTTAAACTTAGATCACATAAAGTGCGTCTGCAGTGAACAGCTGGCGGACATTTGCTTGGCTAATCTGGGTATAAGCCAGTCAGTCCGATTTGAAACTGCAGACGTGCACTAAGAAACTGACCCTTAGGTTAAATTATAAATAGTTACCTTCATTTATCTTAAGCGACTTTAAGTATACCTCCTCAATTGCGGATCCACACTTATCCATCGTTGTAGTTGGTAGCGAATTTCCGAAAACGATTTTCTTAATGTTTTTTTTTGCCATTTTTTCATATGATTTTTCGTTTTATTCACATTGCTTTCTACCTCAATTTATATATTCTTTTTTCTCGATTTATATATTTCTGTAGCGATTTAATTCAACTCTTGGTTTGTTAAAATTTTAGTTTCTTGATTTAACCCTAGAACACACACCCAGAAAATACCACGTAAACACACACCCGGGATACGTTTGTACCCGGGACCTTATTTTGCGGTTTTTTAATGCTTATTCAACCGATTTCTATGATTTTTTTTTTTGAAATGTATATTTTAATATATAACAAGTATTTTGTCTTTTGTTTCATTCGAATATTCCTACTGGTTCCAGCGATATGGGCAAATAAAGTCAGGACATGCAACAGTGGATTTTTGTTTTTGTTGTTGTCCTGATAAATGCAAAACAAAATAATATAATTTATAATAATATACTTGTAGAGTAACAACGAATACACATTTTGGTTTTTATTTCATTGAAATATTCTACCTGGTTCAAAAGATATGTGCAAAAAGGTCGCGCAAGGTATGGGTACGTAGGTAGCAAATACACTGGTATAACTGGTTTTTGTATTTTATATGCAGCTGCAAGGGTTGTTTTCACACGAGGTGTTGTTATAAATGCTGCCTGTTGATATTTTCATTATTGTTTTGGTGCTCAAAAGTGTAAGAAGTGAAAATATAAGTGAAAATAAATATAACTGAAACTATAAATAACTGGATACGAAATGACTTCAAGAAGAAACGAATATTTATCAAGTGCAGCATATAGAAGGTAAAAAATGTAAAATAAGCAACAATGTAAACATATACTAATTTTTTTTATTATGCAGGCTAACTGAGGAACAGCGAGAATCATATATACAATCTTTATTTGATGAAATTTGTGACGATGACGCTCCCTATGACTTTGACTCAGAAGATGAAGAAGAAATTCAAATCAATGACATTGAAATTGCTGATGACGATGCTGAAGTTTCGCAAAGTGCCGCAGAAGTATTACCTGATTATGCGGACTATGAGGATGATGAAGAAGACGATGAAGAAGAAGAAGTAGAAGAAAATAATGAATTACCTGCTAGTGCCGAAAAATTTGTTGCACGCGATGGTACTGAGTGGATGAAAGAACCAAATGTAAGTCGTCAGGTACTCAGACAAAATATTATAAGAGAACGTTCTGGACCAGCTAGATGCACTGAAATGTTGTCAATAGAGCAAACATTCAAATGTTTCATGAACGTTGAAATGGCTGATATAATTATGCGCCACACAAATAAGTTAGCAAAAGAAACTTATAATGCTTACAACAATGCGCATCCAAACACAACTCCTAAGTCATGGATGCCTGTGTCAATAACAGAGCTGTATGCATTTTTTGGCATACTTATTATGACTGGTGCGAACCATAACAATGGAGAACATGTTCGAGATTTATGGAGCGTCAAAAACTATCCTTTATATCGCGCCACAATGGGAGTCAACCGTTTCTGTTCGATATTGCGGTTCCTAAGATTTGACGATAAAAACACTCGTGCAACACGCTTACTAACTGATAAAGCAGCACCGATCAGTGAGTTGTGGACGATGATGAACAATAATCTTGCTGCACATTACAAGCCCAGCTCATGCTTGACGATTGATGAACAATTATTTCCTTACCGTGGACGCACACGGTTTACGCAGTACATACCGTCAAAACCTGCTAAATATGGTATCAAGGTTTGGTGGATTTGCGATGCCACAAATGCATATCCACTGCATGGAGAAATATATACTGGCCAAGCAGAAACTGGTAGGGAAACGAATCAAGGCGAACGAGTGGTGAAGGATTTGTCTGCCAAATACCAAGGAAGTGACCGAAACATTACAATGGACAATTTGTTTACGACCTTGCCAGTTGCAGAACTGCTTCCCACCTGGAAACTCACGATCGTTGGAACTTTGCGCAAAAACAAATCATATATTCCTCAAGAAATGAAGCAGAACAAAAACAGGACAATTGGTTCAACGACATTTGGCTTCAAAAATAATGTGACAATGTGCTCTTATGTTCCCAAAAAAAATAAAGCAGTAATTTTGCTTTCGACCATGCATAATGATGCTGAAATAGCTGACAGTGGGAAACCTGAAATAATTGAATATTATAATCGTACCAAAGGTGGTGTTGATCGAATGGACCAAATGTTTGCGGAATATCCAACACAAAGACAAACAAAACGATGGCCACTAGCGATGTTCTTCAACATGTTGGACATTACAGCTCTTGCAGCCTACATTGTCTACGATTTGAATAACCCTATGTTGCCTTGGAGAACAAACAACAAGCGTAAGCAGATCCTACGCAGCTTGGCTGAAGCATTGTGTAGGCCCATTATTGAAGCCAGAGCCATAAATCGTCAAGTGACGCGAAATTTTTCGACTAAAATTGCTATTGAAGCATATTTCAACCGACCGGTGGAATCAATGGTGTCAACAGCAGCATCAACATCTGCCGCAGCGCGCACGCCAAACCCTGTGTCCGGATCTTGCTATTTATGTTACGCACAAGAGGAAAAACGCCGTAGAAAAACCAGAAAGCTGTGCGACAAATGTAAGAAGCCAATGTGTCTTGAACATTCGGTCACATCAACAAATTGCTCTATTTGCCATGATTTTCCTTAGATATAAGATACATTTTTATAATTTTTATAATAAAAGTCAATAATATAATGTGTGAAATGAATATTTTTAATTTTTCAAATAAAAAATAATATAAAAAATGTTTTTTTTTTATTATTATGAGGATTTTTACTATTGGGGTACAAACGTATCCCGGGTGTGTGTTTACGTATATAATGTGTTTGGAAGGCTGTAGCTCCTGAACCAATGGTCCGATTTTGAATTTGAACTCAAAACTAAATAATCTTCCTAGATCCGAAGTTAGCGGTATAGAGGTATAGCGGTTCAAAAGTTACAACACTTCAAAGTTGAAAGTGGATACATTTGTACCCGGGTTAAAATGAAGATGCTGTTTGATTAGAACAAGTTCGTGCGTTTGTTTGGCCTGCCAAGAGGCTTAAATTACCGGGAAAAGTGGGTGCATCTTTGCGGTAAGAACATAAGAACATAGGCGTTAAAAAAAAAAAACGAGCTGTGTTGATGCTCGGCGATTTTTTATTCTGTGACAGAAGTAACACCACTCAGATATATATTTTTCTGGCTTCTTTGAGTAGGTGATTTGGTATTTTTGGTTTATGGGTATTATGCAAATTAAAGGCATTTGTTCTCCAAAACACACTTTTGCCAATACTTCATTTTCACTATAACACTTTGTGCCAATACTTTGTCGTCATCTGGGCACACTACTATGCACATAAATAGGTGCCAATACTTTGTTGTCATCTGGGCACACTACTATGTACATACGTAGGTATGCATGTGTTTCTTTCAGCATTGCACTTTTTCACATAACCTATCCCAACACATAAATACGCATATTCAATTTATGTGTAAAAACTTTAAAAGGACACGCTCTTAACGCGACCAACTAGCACCACATGGTACATATGTATGTACATATTCCTTTACATAAGGCACATTTACATAATGAATTTAACACTCCACCGGTACTTCTGCACATACATGTTTCGCAAAACGTATGTATATTTATTACGCACGTTTTTTTCTTGTTAGAAATTAACTTTAATTTACGCATTTTTTTTATTTAAAAGGAACTCTACGCACTTATTTCTTAAAATTCACCGTTTTTTTTGTTTTTACTTATTTCTTTTGTTTGTGTGTACATTCGCACTACTTACATATTACTACTTACTATTTACAATCAGCCTTTCACTGCACCTGCTATCAAAATCGATGGGTTAATTATTGTTTCACTCGCGCCGCTTGCTATGTTTTTTTTTTTTTCAATTAACTCGAAATATTTCACCGGCACCGCACAACAGCACTTGTAGTAAAGACGAATATATTTAACGTGGTGGGGAATCGGCCATTGACGGAAGTAGTGTCGTGTTATCGATATCGATGTACTAAACAATTCGATACTATGGAGAGTTCTTTCGATCATAACACTGAGGTTGCACTTGCCATTTTCTGTAGCAGGTCTGCGCAAATTTTGTGCAGATCCGCTTAATAGTGTGTGTGTGCAGTTAGTGCTTGCAGTAATGGAAATTATATGCATTTTTTTTCATATAGATGGGGTGGGTAATAATAAATAATACATAATTATTTATTATTATCTATTTCAAAATGCAGTATTACTACGTCAAGTTATAATGCATAGACCCATCAATTAAATGTTAATTTGTTTCCGCCACACTTTTCGTGCAACCTATTTATCAGATAAGCAGCTCAAAGTTCCCATGAACCCTGCCGACTCTCACCACCCCAATATAAAGCCAGGTATAAACGTTAGAATGCTTTTCCCATCAATCATTAAGGAATGCGTAAATTTGTACCTCGCTATGGCTCGCCACCCGTCAATCTCGTTTCCTTGTAAAGTTCTAATTACGATTGGGAAACTGCTATTTCAGAAAATGACCCGCTTCACGTTGATGCGAAAACAAGCGGAAACTACCCGAGGCTACCCCCTGACTTGTCGACTCTGCGGCTCGAAGCATCCTCTCCGGCTCTGCCCTGTTTTTCGTGCTAAAGGGCCAGAAGAGCGTCTGCGTGAAGTATTGATCCACCGCTACTGCTCCAATTGCTTAGCAGGAACCCACCGCGCAGCACATTGCACTAACGAGGGCAGATGCCGGCAGTGCCAGGAGCAACATCACACGTTGCTTCATATTTCATCACGTGCCGACAAGCCGCGTTTTAGCCGACGACCACCAAGGAATACGGTTGCCGAAGACGACGATAGCGACGCCATATCATTAGAGGCGTCAGAGGCTGGAGCGGAAACTTCAGCTTTCCGCCCAGGCCTGGAAGAGGGGGAAATCCCTGAACCTGAAGCGGAAACCGATGCTTTCCGCTCAGCAAACTCCCCTGGAATGGAAACCTACGCTTTCCATCCAGATGGGTCGAGGGGATTAGGACTCCAGCGTTTTCGCCCAGACTCAGAGCACGAGCGAGACCATCAAGAGGGACTGGAAACCGGAGCTTTCCAGCCTTCAAAAAACAAGAGAGGTCTCAAATCCCGACAGCAGCGTTACCGCCCTCGCCGTCGACAAATCAAAAGCGGGCGAGTGGAATCTTCTGCATTCCACCGCCAAGCTCAAAGCGGATTTCGATCCGGAATGGTAACTATGGGGCGATCAGCTGTTATTTCGCTACAAAGCCTGACACCAGTAGCGCCCACCGCCGTCGTGAAAATAGAAGCAGGAGGCCGACTGCATCATATACGGGCACTCATAGACCCATGCGCAGCCACGTCGATATTAGCCGAAGATCTTGCCCAAGAGATACGCTTGAACGTGACGTCCATCAATAAGCAACGCGGGTGCTTTATTAAAATGCGTGGAAAATACGGGCAAACAGCGACGGTAACCACTCACGCTATTATTGTGAGAAACTACAAAAAGATAACCCCGGTCGCGAATATCGACGCTTCGATTGGCGCAGCGTATACAAATTTAAGACTGGCTGACCCGCGGTTCCACATTTCTTCGCCAGTCCGAGTAGTTCTTGGGGCCGACGTTTTCCCCAAGATTTTCCTGGGCGCTCTTCCCGCAGGTGCCATGGGCCCACTATTGGCACAAAATACAATCTTCGGGTGGGCGCTCTCCGGTGCTTGCTGAATGATTTTTCCCCCAACAATTACAATAAATTTTTTATATTCACTTTTTTATTTTTTCGAAAATCTGGATTAATAACATGAATTGAAATAAAAATAAACAAGTGCTTGTGAATTTCAAACCACGTTTTTATTGTGACTTTTTTCTTCATTTACATTTTTTCTAGAATTTAGGTTCGACAAATGCGGAACGTAAATGGATACGTCGCTTCTAGTTTTAAGACATATCTACTAAACGATGAAACTTGGTGGCCTAAATACGTAAACTTCCAGATTGCTTGCCGCAAGGGGGCCGGCATGTTTAGGCCAGCGTCTTAAATACGCCATTTAAGAGCCACCCTAATATTTAACATTTGAACATAAGACAACAGTTAACTGCTTTCTATTGTCGAACGCTAGTTATGTTAAAATTTCCCTCCCTTAAAAAGCCGTTCGAAAGGCTAACGTGATTAAAAAGAAAAGGAACGGATTTTACTTGCTTACCGAATATCCATTTGAGTAGACGTCTTGCAGCCACCAATTTTCATCGCCTCATCCAGCTACATATATATATATGGGGTGGCCTGAAATACAATTTACATCGGTGCGAACTTGAAGCTGGGCCATTACCCATTTGCGGCACATCCGAAAACTGCGCTCTTAACCATCTTTGCCCGATGAACACAATAATTATATCATTCTATCTTGAAGTGACAAGAATTTGTTGGAATCTATTAAATTTTGACAAAGTTATGGGCATTTAAAAAAAATTCTCACTGTCAGTTCGAATAATCGATTTTTGCCTGAAAACCAAAATCGCGTTTAATTCGGCCGAAAATTTTTTCCGAGCCAAAAGAAAAAATACGTGTCTCATTATTTGGACCAACAAACAATGTATTTGAGTTCGGCCGAAATTAAAAATCATGCTCGTACCTGACCGGTTGTCTGGAAATGGAAAGCATCGTGTAATTAATTGATAGAAAAATATTTTCTATTAAAAAAAAATTATTATAATTGTCAATAGCATTTTCAATCTTGATAATTTATCAAGAAAATAGATTTAAACTTCTGTGCTAGAACTGGGAGTTCTTGATAAATAATCAAAAATTGACAAATCATAAAAATATTGAATTTATTAAGTGCACAGAACCGGGCTGTAAGTATATACATATTTGTTATGAAATATAGCAGTGTTATTCAGTATATTTTTTTCTCACTGATGAAGTGAAGATTTGGTAACTTTTGGTAACTTTTCTTAGGAAAAAAATGTTGGCGAGTGGCAACCATGGTGCCAACGACCGCACGCGGACACTCCAATCATTAATTGATTCCGCTGGCTGTTTGACCGAATTATAGAACTTACAACGTTCTGTAAATCCTGATGCTGATGGTTTAAAATGCCTTTGCATAACTTCCACACATTTACTTAAGCTTGTGATGGGATCTTCAATCTTTAGCGGATTTAATAAATTCTGTAATAACTCGTACGATTGTTGCGTTAATGCTGTGAGCAAAATTGCTTTCTTCTTGAGATCATTTGTAATCTCGTTAGCGATAAAGAATTGATCCATTTGTGTTTTAAATACACTCCAAACACCATCGGTTTGGTCGAACTGTGGCATTGTTCCCAAAATTTGCGCCATTCTGCGTTTAGATTTATCCTTGTCGCCACTATAATGTATTACTGTAGGCAGTAGTTGAACGACTAACAACGCACCTAGTGTCTGTCAAGCTACTCGTTATATGTCCTTAGGCGAGTTAACAGTGCTGCCTCTTAGTCGGCGAAGTTGCTAGCCGTGTGTATAAGAGTCAGCAGTGTTGCTTCTAGACTGACAACTATTAAACATATTACACCTTAAACTGTACTGTAAAATGTAAGAAGAAAATAATTTAATTATAGTTGACATGTTTCAGATAATGTTTGATATGTCTAAAAAATTAATACAACAAAAAGATCAATCGTTTTACGGGCATATCGTCGTGTCGTTGCGTACCAGTTGCGATAACAAAATGGAGCTTAAATTATTTAAAAAGAAGGCTAGCATTTTTTTGTCGTGGGTTGTTAGTTATCTCGAAAATAAATAACAGTTTAAAAACGACAAATTTTCCTTTAACTTACTAGTTGAAAAAAGTAATTTAAGCCATGAGGAAATATAGATGAAGTCCTTAAATAGTGGTACTTTTCCACAGTTTGAAAAAATATGTAATTTAGTTTTTTTCAATACCACACTCAAACAAAGCAACGCTGAGAGGATCTATATAGTTTGCTTCCTGGCGGAAAGAGAGGAATCGGCTCCTAATTAAAATGTTTTAAAGTGAGCTTCAAATTAAAAGTAATTTTAAAATGAAATGTATTGAATTCTTTGACTGTTTAAACGCTGAAAATGGAAATTATCTCATTATTATTATTATTAAAAAATTTCATAAATATAAAACAATTTATTGGATTATGAGTTCAATGATGTGTACTTTCATGTTAAAATGAATTAAAATTTTTCTTTTTTATGAACTATATTTTATTTACTGTATACCAAAATATCAAAAACAAGTTCTCCGGCGTTTTAAAGCATTATCTGTTACTTACATTCATAATTTTCCTTTTAATAAAAATGTACTGAAAAGTACTGATTTTTTAAGCAGGAGGAAGTCGAACGTACTGATTTTGCCCATAAAAAATCTGGCAACCCTACGGGTGAACAGTGTAAATATTACAATTTGTTAGACAGGTGGAAACCCTATTCAAAAAAATAAAAACTTATTTCATATCTAGAGGCCAAGCCCTTTCGTTTGACACCTCATTTTTGAAAATCATGCGAAGGATGTAAATATTATACTTTTGTAGACAGGCGGAAACTCTATTCAAAAAATAAACCCTTATTGTACGTCTTCAGGTCCAGCCCTTTCATTTGACACCTTATTTTTTTAATCCAACGAACCGTGCAGATTTTATAATTTTTAAAAAGGTGGCAATCCTATTCAAAAAATAAAAACTTATTTCTATCTAAAGGCCAAGCACTTTCATTTAACACCTCATTTTTGAAAATCTAATGAACGGTGCAAATCTTATGCAATTAACAAAATTACCTTCGCATAGAATAGTATCTCTAGCCACACCAACTTTCCACGACGAATAAGTTCCAACTAAAGGAATAAAACAACTAAAAACTAATAGTGTGATGTGTAAAGTAAATATATATATATAAAAATAAAGATATTAAGTGGCTGCTTTAAGGCAGAATAAGAGTAATCAGTGTACGTATATTTCGGAAATTTGCAACAAATACCATATTTCCAACCGACATTATAGTTAAATTAGTGCACAGATTTAGTAAGTTAAATTATTGTAATAAGACGTGAACTGTTGTCTACAAGTTTGTGTAAAAGGTTTTTGATTCGATTCACGCGTTTGGGCACAGCAACCCAAAATCGTTGTACAAATTCATAAACCGTACCCTAACGCTGAGTCCACACGCAACATTTACATCATAAAACTATTGGCGCGTATTCATAGTCCAGCAACTAAGTCGAAACTAACAAAGTTGCAACTTAAATTTAAGTACCAACTTAAGATTTACCACTATTCATAGTTGCATTTCAGACTTCTACTAATTAGTTTCGACTTAGTTTACGATATAGCAAAACGAGTGTGAAAATGTATCGATTTTTCTTTACGATAGTTTGGAAATATTATATTTTTATTAAATAATGTCAAGTTTGATCATCCGTTTATGTAATTTTTATTTTCATTGCATGATTATGCAAAAGAATATGGTATCATTTTCTTGTTAATTGTGTGAAATAGCCAGAACAACCGCAGTGATGTGAAGTCGATGTTTATCGAAAGCATGCTGTGAAACATACAAATAGTAGATATCAAAATGTTATGCACAAATTTACTTTGAAAGAACTAGCGTGAAACTGACTTATTATTTGAGAATTTATCTAAATTATTCGAATTATAAAATTGTGATGTAGCTTTATTCGAATTGTAATACACATTTAATTCCATCTTCCGATTAAAATGGATCGATATTTGTAAATTTTAATTGGAGATTATTCAATATTATCAAAATCACCCTCTACCAACTTAATTTTTACATATTTCGTCGGTTTTCCCTTAATTTGATAAAATACTTCTTCCTACTTACGACTTAGTTGCAGCTGCAGCCGAAACTAAATTTTAAGTTGGTACTTAGCCAGAAAAGTCGAAACTAAGGCGACCATGAATAGCTTTAGTTGTGACTTAGAATAGTTTCGACTTAGTTGAGTACTAAATATGACTATGAATATGTGCCATTGAATTTTAAACGTGGAATTATGGAATATATGTTAGCATTTTCCTATTGCTGTTTTCCCGTATGCAACCGCCTTACTCGATGGCAACCCTGCCTATCACACTTCTTTTTCTTTCCTTTCTCCTCTACTTCTTTCAATTCCTTTTCGCCTCCAGCACATAATTCTATTGTGAATGTGAACATAACACTTCATTTCCTCTGCGAACATTCGAGATAGAAGCACGCCATCTAAATTGTGTTTTTTACAATCTGATAATAAATAAATAATAAAAAAAATTGCGTTACAGCTTCAGGTGTGGGGTACAAGTACCCATTTAGTTAAATAAAGTTAATAAAATCGAATATGCCACAACGGTTAACAAAACAATTTCTAGTCGACGCTCTAATGGCGGCTAGTGTGGGTTTTCCCGCGACGGCTACGGTGGCGCAATTAAAGCATTTATACGCCGAACACTACACAAATGAGGCGCTCAATGAGGTGGACGACGACAACATATCCGACTTGGATGAGGGAGTAGCTCCAGACAACGGTGCCACCATAATCGACGCCACGCGCTATGATCAGGTACGAGATTCTCAAAATACGGTTACCGAAAATACCGTTGGCGAATGCCGTGACGCCGGCGCAAGCGCCCCTGCCGCTAACCTAAATAACGTTGCTGAATACACCGTTCGCGAACGTCGTGACGCCTCTAGCCTTGCCGCCGGCGCTAAAAATGCTGCTAAAATCCCCGCCGCTGACGATATTACTGCCAATGCCGATATTACCGCCAATGCCGAAAATGCTGCCTCCGTAAACCTTCTTGCCTATAGCTATACCAGCGACAAAACTTCCGCTGCCGCTAACAACACGGCATCCAGCCCTA